ATGAGAATATATATATAAAAGTGTCTCCTCAGCTGCTGCTCCCTCCTCTGATGATGCCGCCATGTTCATGAATCATCGCCGGCACGCAATAAACCGCGGGATATGTTGACTGGCGAAGGATCCACCCGTTGCCATGGAAAAAAAGGACATATTTCTCAGCCGTATATGAAGGAGCATTAGAAATGGGACAGCCTAGTTGCGCCGTTGTGTTGCAATCGGCCTTCAAATGCAGCCGCTGAAGGATGCAGCCCCTGAATTGAGGCACAGCTAATGCGACCAGCAAGCTGCGTGGGCCAAGTGTTTCCCTCTTGTATTCTGTTTGCTGTGCCGAGTTTCCAATGAAGCTGCGTTATGGAACTCCACCTCTGAGTCTCTTCTGAGATAATAAATAATAATAAACAAAGAATCAAAACTGATAGCAATAAAGTATTCAGACACCACAAATGAACAACAGTACTTTGTTGCAAGGCCATTGTTGGCAGTTACAGCGTTGGGTTGTCTATAGTAAGAAATAATTAGCTGTACTGTGGTTCAGTTTTGGCCCATTCTTTTCGGCTAACCATCCTCAAGGTTATGAGGGTTACTCTCATGGACTTTTACAAAATCCTCCATAAATGTTTAATAGGATTCAAATCAGAGGACTGGCCAGGCCATGCAAGCACATTCAGTCTTTTTTAGAAACCAGTATTGAGTTATTTCAATTATGTTTGGGGTCATTGTCATGTTGAAACATCCATCTTGTCCCCAGATTCAATTTCTTGGTCAATAAAATTAAATTACCCTCTAATATCTTCCAGTTCATTGCACCATTCATGTTTCCTTTGATGGCGTGTAAAGCCCCAGTACCATTTGCAGAGAAGCAGCCCCATATCATGATGCCCCCACCTTCTGCACCACTGTGGGTATGGTGCTCTTGGGACGGTATGCGAAACCCTTTTTTCCGCAAGCATGATGAGCTGAATTAAGAGGTCTATTATTGTTTTTCTGACCAGAGCACATTGTCCTGTAATGTATCAGCAAAGACGTTTTACATTGGGTGTAGATACGGAAATGATTGCATTGCAGTTAATTGCTTATTGTTCTCTGTTGTCCCTTCTGTTTTCAGGTCATCGTGCAGCTCTTTCAGAAGGACTGCTGGCTTCTCTCTTCACTGTCATAAAGTACTGAGCAGGTACAATTTTCCTGATGTAACTGTACCCTCAAAAGTACAACAATGATTATAAGGTTTAGTTGTTACCTTAAATAAGTTTTTTTTTGTCCCAGGGAAAAGTCACATAAAAAGCCTGGAGACGAGACCAGGTGTGCACAGGCCTGGTCATCCAACAGGTTTTATAGGTATGTGCCTAAGAGCCCAAGCCACTAGGGGGCCCCTGCGAGCAATTCTGAGAAAATTCAAGCAGCTGTTTTGACTTGTGGTGGAAACTTTACTACTGGCATAGTAGTAAAAATAAACGAATACATCTTATCCTAACAGCAAGCAACAGCTTCCATCATAAGCAAATGCTTCCATTATAACCGCCATTAGTTGAGAGAGGCAGAGTGCGATGTGGTGAGATGTGACATGACGGCTGCCGCATTTCTGTTTTTGATGCGTTAAGTTGCTCTGTCGTTCCACTTTAAAATGAATGAGGAGAAGGTCTTCCCAGAGCCGGTTTATGAGGAGCCTGGCCACTTCCTATTTCCCCCGTTATATCAAAAACAGGACTGCAAAACAGCAGAGGACGCCCGCGAGCGAGTCCTTAATGAATGGGAGTAAATGGAGCTCAACGGCTAAAAATGAAAAGTTAAAATAGTTTCTAATCACTGAACCAGAACTTTCCTTTAATTTTAGAAAGTAGAAGAATGTATTTAACTAAAAAAGCAAGGAGAACTCACCTGTATGTTTCCTTTTTCCTTTTTTTCTACAGCAAACAGGTTTTGGGCAGCATGACGCTAACATTACTGCTACTGAGTGCTGATTGGTTGGCGAGCGGAGCAGCTCATTGGCTATTGTGCTCTCTGACATCATTAATGTACATGTGCCATTTTAAATTCCTATGACTCGAGTTTAAAAGCTCTTAAAAATATACCAGTGTTAAAATGTTTTATGCTGTTCTGTAGTCAGGATTTGAAAGTATTCTTTCACATTAAAAATGTTTCAGTATTTATAAACTATGATTTTGCTCAAATGCTCAAATTTTGGACTTGCTCGGGAGCGCCCTCTAGTGTTTGAGAAACCCAGAAGACATTACAGAGCGGTAATTCTTCTCTCTACAAGTTCTCTGGTCTTCCATGGATCTCTTTGAGCCTTCCAGTAAAGAATTTGGAGAGAAACAGTCACAGTGCTGGATGTTAGAGTTGTTTGTTTTGTGATAGCCAATTAGCTAAGTAGACTTGGCAGATGAAAGTTTACATAACCAAGCTGCCCACCAGCAGGGTGGGAAAACTGGAAACACATGGATAGTCCTTTACTTCTTTGGCACAAAGAACATGACATCTTAAGCAATCTATAAGGTTGACTCCTCTGACCACAGCACAATTTTTCACAGAACTATTTGCTAATGCATTTGTTGGCTCACCACACATCTGCTCATAAAGGAGTGGGTTTTTCCAGGAATGCTTCTATTTTACTCAAGCATTGCATCACCTCTTTTAGAATGTTTAATAACGTTTCTACTCTTAAATTGTCTCTATCACAGCTTTTTGGAGCACATTGCAGGCATCAATTTTAATATGAGCATATATTAACAAAAAATCAATGAAGTTGGTCAAGTAAAGCATTAATTTTCTTGTCTTTGTACTGTTTTCAGTTAATTACAGGTCAAAGTGGTTTTGTAAATTGCTACTTTCTGTTTTTATTTACATTTTGCCTACTGTCTTGACTCTCTTTGGAATTGGGTTAATTTAATGACTGCAGCACTGAGTTGCAACAGGTTTGTGTAAGTTTATACTTAAGTTTGGGCAGTTAGGTCTTCACTAAGTCCTTAGTTACACTAGTTTTAAACTATCCTTTTTCTAAATTTGGTTGCATCCCAAAACCTGCTGCCATGGAAACGTGACGGCAGTTGGCTCTGACTTTTTCAATGGAAAAACAGCCTAGAAGAGAATGATGTGTACATGTTAAACTGAATAAGACTAATTATCTACACCCAATATCTGTTTATCTTTAATATTTCCATGAGAAAACCAAATATACAGCTTTTTAAACTATGGTTTCTGGCTGAGCAACACACCAGCAGCCCTAGTTTAGATGCTCGGGCAGCTGCTGAGTCTCACTGAGCTGGAGCTGTTGGTATTCAGCTTCATGTTCAGAGTTAAAACCAGGGAGACAGAACTTACGTAGAGGTGGTACAACCGGCCACAGGTGCAATTTGCAGTATTAACCCTCTAGGGTTCACAAATGCATCCATGCATCCAGTTTGTAGGTATGTTTCTCTGTCTCTTTGCAATAATACAGCACAGAAATACAGTTCAAACATTTCCTGAATCTGTAGAGTCGCCCTTTCTATTCCATCTTATCATGAGATTGTATGTGTCACACAGAGTTATTAGGCTGCGAAGAGGGGTTGAGAAACACATCATCTGCCACTCACTGTGTGTAACTGGTAGATACAAGTGTCCATTTACATTGCGAAATTGACCACTCAAGTGTTCACCAAGGACTGACCCTTCATGCCGACAACCCTTTATTGCAAAGAGTTTACAGTCGCTGAAGTTGCTGCAGTGGTTTTGGAAAGTGGCAATGAAGATAACAGAGCATTTTGATATGAAACATATGAGTATCATGTTATATGCAGATGAATTTATGAGGAAAAAGAAAATGAGAAAATGCTCTTAATTTGTAGAACTTGATATATTTTTGTTTTTAAAATCTTTTTTTTCTTTAAACACCTTTTTTCAATCGCAGTTTTAATTTGTTTCGTTTTTTTAAAACATACTTGTTTTTACCCTCACTATATATAGAACTGTGAACACTCAAGCTGCACATAACGGAAGGCTGCCCTGATCAGGAACTTGCTAAATTCTGCTGAAACAGATGTATTGCTGGAGGACTCAAAATAAGTTAGGAGATTTTATCCTTAATGATTTTTGAGTGCAGCAAAATTTTAAAAACATATTCAAAATAAAAACAAGCTAACCCTACAAGAACCTGAGAAATGAGTTCATGCCATGATACTGCTGTAATGTCTTACTAACTGCTTGCTCTACTGTCTCTCTAAGCAGACTCCAGCTAGTTCAGAACATGTTCCCCAGGAAAAGAAGGTCTCAGAGCATATTAATCTGGTTTACATCGGCTTCTTATTACATTTCACTTGCTTTATTACACTTAAAGCAAGACAATAGACTAGCTCCGGCATATCTGGATGATGTCTTGAAGCTCATTTAAACCACTTTGCTCAGCTGAGGCATGCTTACTGCAAGCTCTTAGAACCAATTACAGCTCAGCTAGTGAAAGATCCTGTTCTTATATACACCCCAAGTCCTCGCAGTTCTCGTCTGTGCTCTGGGTTCACGGCCCGCCTCGTAGCTCTCATCGCAGCCCAGGGGACAGGCACCTGGAACAGGTAGATTTCTGAACATTGAACAGTGTAATGTGGTGTTCCACATGGCTCTGTCTTAGGGCTATTACTGTTCTCCTTTTATTTATAGTTCTTATAGTCCTTAGACCACTTTGCTCAGCTGAGGTAGGCTTACTGAAAACTCTTAGAACCAAATACAGCTCAGCTGGTGAAAGATCCTTTTCTTATATAGCTCCCAAATTGTTTTCCAGAGAACATTAGGAATGCAAAACTTTATATTTCCACCAAAAAAGGCTGTGCCACAAGATGAATCACATTTTTCCTACTATGGTCTAAACAATATAGCTTACAAATTGCCCAAAATTAAAAAATTCTATGTTCATACATCTAGGTTGTGTGGCAGGTACTGTGTGCACGATGACATTACTATGAGATTGCTCAAGATTTGCTTTATTTAGTTATACAGCCCAAGAAAAAAACAACACTAGTTACAATAAGGCTTTATTTAACATATATTTTTTTACATTTCACAAGAAATATGTTGCCAGCCATCACATATGCACAGTATAAAAACTTAATTATATTGCAAATATTCATCAAATGTTATTAATTCACTTAAATAACATCTGATTCATTTCAGAGCTGACATATTCAAAAAAAAGGAAAAAAGAAATTAATTTCATATATGCTGCATTCAGTATATCAGTCTTAGACAATTCACAACGAACACAACAATCCCAATCGCCACTGCAGCGCTGTTCAGCATGCAAGCTGTCTGCGAGTTTTTCTTGGCCCGTTGGTTGTCGCCTCTCAGGTTGGCATCTCGAGTCTGAGAGAATAGAAAGTGCAGAATGTCATATTTGGTGCGACAGCTTCTACACGGCATTTGCAGTGTGCTGTTAAGAAAATAAAGGGAGCTCGGTCCTCAGAGCGAAGAACAGCACAAACCTGTAGAACACTTTCACATTCACACACATCAAAATGCTACACAGGAAAAGTCAGACATACCATCAGTTTAGAGAAAATCTTAAAAATCAAGTCACCATTTTAAAACATATGAGTACAAAAATGTATGAATATGAACTTTTCCTCTGGTAAAACTTACTTAAGGTATACAATTGGACTATAAGAACATCTTTGCACCTTTTTTTCCTTATCAATGTTTTATTAAATTTTATATTATGCTTTACAACAAGGGTGTAGAAAGGTAAGGAGCAGAGGAAAGCAGGACTTTGACATACATTTTTGGGAATACACATCAATCAAAAATAATGCAAAGAATTCATAAACAACTAGAAAACTGATCAACATTACATAATTTAATTGGAAATGAAAGTTCTTGAATAGAGTCATATAAATTCTCCCAGTTTCTTATTGTTGGCTAGTTTGCCTTGTTAGGCTTAGCTGTAAGATATTCCATCCAAACTATATTTTGAAAACTAGATATCCAGAATTTCATAGCTGAAAGCTGTGGGGCAGGCCAAAGTTGCAAGATTGAAAACTTTAGGGTTGAGTCACCATTTAAAAGACATATATGTGGCGACAGTGGAATACTGACATCAAGTACTCTAGATAATACACCAATCAGGCATAACATTATGACCACTCCTTGTTTCTACGTTCATTGTCCATTTTATCAGCTCCCCTTACTATATAGGTGCACTTTGTAGTTCTACAGTTACAGACTGTAGTCCATCTGTTTCTCTACATACTTTGTTAGCCCCCTTTTACCCTGTTCTTCAGTGGTCAGGACTCCCATGGACCCTCACAGAGCAGGTACTATTTGGGTGGTGGATCATTCTCAGCACTGGAGTAACACTGATGTGGTGGTGGTGTGTTAGTGTGTGTTGCGCTGGTCTGAGTGGATCAGACACAGCAGTGCTGCTGGAGTTTTTAAACACCTCAATGTCACTGCTGGACTGAGAATAGTCCACCAAAACCAAAAATATCCAGCCAACAGCGTCTTGGGTGCCATCATCTTTAAAAACATATCTTGGAATATTTTATTATATAATATGTATGTTACTGAAAGCATTCGGTTTTTATAATACCTTGATTCAATAACTCACGAAATCCTGTTGGGTGACCAACTAAACCAGCACCATGTCATGTTGCTCAGCATGTGTAGTAAATATAGATGGAGAAGAAGTAAAGAAATGCTTTTCATAGGTATATTTCAGCAACATCTTAGACAAAAATAATGTTAAGGGTATGGAATGGTTATAGGAAGACAACAGATTGCTTAAAATATACATAATATGTGCTGATAATTTTAATTAGATTGACTGAAAATTCACAAACATGGACTAACTGCTAGGGTTGGGTCAATAGACGATTCCATTGTCCACCGCCGATGGCTGACAGACATCACCATGTAGAGCCAACATCATGTCGAGTATTTATAGTATCTTTGTAAGACTAATGCTACCACCCCTCTATGTCATCGTGCATTGCGATGTTTCCTTGTAGGAATCATCATATACCAGTTAGGTAGACATTTGCCAACCCTACTTTCTGTGTACATCACTACACAGACATATTTAAAGCAGAACCCACTTACTACTGTTGTGGTAATGCTAACTTCCACTATTGTCTCTGGGATTTATATTAGCACCAAGCTAGTGATCATGTACTTTCACTTTCCACTAGGTTTAACACTATTCTAGACATTCGGGCAATGTGTACTTTATTTTTTATGTTGTGGAATAACAGTGAATCCTAGATATTTAAGCCTAACTTACTGAAAGAGCATGCAAGAGCTTGTTAGCCAAGACCTTCATATTACTGCATGTTCACCCAGTTCAGGACTGTAACTGTAGGCACTGTACTGGTTCAAATTCTACGTCAGGTATGAGTTTTGTCATAACTGTTATACAAGTATGTCAAAAAGTAGCTCAGGTAACGCAACGTGCAAACAGTTCAAACCATGCTAACATTAACCACTTTACCTGGGTGGCTGAGTCAAGGGTTTTTAGTCACATTTCAAATAAAAATGAAAACGCAGCAGGCTCATGATCACTTTTTGCTGTCTAGTCCATTTAATGTAAAGTACACTTTGGTTTCGAGGGAGTGCACATAAAGTAACGACCAGTCTTTTAGGGTTAGCATTAGTCAAGTCAAGTCAAGTCAAAGATTATTTATTTAGTGCTTTTTACAACAGGTGTTGTCACAAAGCAGCTTTACAGAAAAACTGAAAAAAACATACATGCATGCACTAGATCCTGCTAGTGTGGGTTTCCTCCCTTTCAATGATGCACACAAAAGTAAGTGCAGTCAAAAATTCCTGTTTGTAATAAGTTTTTTATTAACAGATAAAATGAAATGCTTTTGTCATTATTGACAGGTGGAGGTGCTCTAGAATTTAGCAGATAAGCTTAGCTTCTGTTTGCCAAAACCTTAAAAATGGGTCATGTGCTTAACCCTTGATGTTTGTCTAGCCATGCCCTTGAGTGACTCTAAAAACTGTTTTTAGTTTATTTCGTACATCGCACTGAGGCATTTCATTTCAGTTTCGTGCTTTGGAATGTCCTGTGTGGAATGTCATTTGACACCTATGTTGTCATGCCCTTCATTCACCTGAGGTACAAAACAATGTTCAACCAAATGTCAAGTTTTTGTAAGGACGATCATTTACAGTAAGTGGGGCTGGAAAACTGGACAACCTTGAAAAACTGGCACACGTACCTGTAACATAGTGACACGGAATCACACAACAGTATCACCACCACAACTTCCTACTTCCTGTTTAATTTTGTTGAACCAAAATACTCATGATGGCCTAATCATTAATGAATATGTTGAGTTATCCAATAATAATAATAAGAACTGAACTCCAGGTTCTGATTCAGAAAAATCAAGTTTTTTTCTTAACGTGTTTATTTTAGAAGGGGGGGAGTATGATTGATTTAATCAGTGGGCAACTATATTGCCATCTAAAACAGGCCTTGTCTCTCAGCCTTGTCCACTGCAAGGCCCACCTGTTTACCACTAGAAAACAAGAAGGCCTGCAAGATAACAAAACTCAGTGTTTTTGCTTAAAATCGTCATTTTTTGGACATTTTCAACACAGTGATTTGTGGGCGTCTAGTCTTGTAATGTGTATCAGTGAACACAAAATATCAGCAGAATGTTGGTGCGAGTGGACAACTGAAAGGTTAAGGGCAAAAAAACTGAAGAAGCTGTTTTTGTGCACTGTTATTGTGGGGCTTGTATTAATGTTGTTAACTGTCTGAAAATATTTTCTTTCTTTTTTATTGTTAAGTCAATATTTTTTTCAGTAATTTTTATGTCAAAGTTCCATCACAGGCCCACTACAGACCACTGCCCCCATTCAGTATAGGTCCAAGGACCGCCAGAGGGTGCTTCGCGGCCCACTTGTCCTCGGCCCAGTGGTTAAGAGACCCTGATCTAAAACATCCTACAAGCCCAACTATAAGGAAAATGTGCTCAATATTTGGAGTGTTTTGTGCTTAGGTTTGTGTCTTTACTCAGTCAGTCCTCAGTTAACACTAGTTAGTCTAAAATCTTTTTACTAAATTAGCTTCCACCACTAAGTAAGTAATATCTTAGATATGAGCTAATGCTGCCTTTAAGCCCTCCTTGGAAATTCCTACTTATGCCTTATGAGGTCCTAAGTATGACATGTTCAAGTGGTTTTGGCCGACCCGCTGGAAATAAGGCTTATTTGTTTACTTTTGTTTTCCTCTCATCAATGAGAGTCTTCTTTAAATGCTTATGAGATGAACAATGTTTTTATCCAGTGAGAAGCATCACATAACATGCTTATATTTATATTTTCACATGTGGATGATTTTAGCTTACAGTGTTCATGTGTGTCTGCTGAATCACAACCAGCTACAATACTATCACTTCATTTTGTTGACACGCCCCCAACTCAGTAAATCGGAGCTTTTCATTAGTAAATATGACAATGTTGTGGCTTTCATATCATAAATCATCTCATAAATATGACACGTCAGACAAAAACACAGCTAAACGAATGTGTACAGAGTGGAAACGGCGAACACTTCTGCTTTAACACGATGATAACTAATTTAAAACCAATTAATATAAAACGGATAGTTCTGGTCCTAAAATCTGATTGGCTGAGCCGCGTTCGAAGCCGTTGTAAAAAACATGGCCGCCTCACGACAACTGAACTCTGGATTATGGCGCCACGGCACAAAAAACCTTCTGCTGTTAATGGATTTATCTTTGACTCGGAGCACCGAGTGATACTGATGGTGTAAGAACCCATTTTGTTTAAATTTAGGGGTTGAAACTATATTTTCTTTACTAGAACTAGGCTGGTCAGCTAGCTAACAGGCTAAAAGATAGCAAACATGCTAAACTACACTAACATGAATTAAAATTATTACAATATTCACGATATGATTCGCTGAAAAACGGCAATATAAAAGTCTAAATAATGTCACCTGAATTAATTACACGCTTCAAATGTCCGTGTTTCAGTCAGAAGTTGCGCCAAACTCAGGCTGAATCCCACACGGCTCCGTACCCCCTAGATAAAAAGCTAGTGTGCTGTGTAACATTTAAGCTCAGAAATTCTAGCTTCTGCTGTCAGTGCACTGCTTGTCGAGTATGAATGTGGATGAATCCCAAATGACCATTTTTAGCGATATTTTGCATTGTTGGGGTGCAGAAGTCAGCATTTACGTTCCTATGTAGTGCACTAGCTAAGTAGGGAGCAGGGAGCCGTTTGAGATTCAGCCCCAGCATGAGAGAAGTGGCGTCAGACGACTGGCAGGAGAAGTCTTATTGAACTGGAGCTACCATTTGGATTTTCATGTTTGGAGCTTAAAGTTTAAACCAGTGTCTTGATTAGGGCTTAAAATCAAACCACAGCACACAGAATATTAGCTTAACCAAAAAAGTGACGCGTAGCTGTTTCTAGTCTAATCATAGTTATGTTAGTACTGGTTTCACTATCACATCTGCAGTGGTGGAGGTGTAATATTTAGTAGACACTAAACTCAATATAAAAATACATCAACCTGAACTTGCGTTATAACTGGCTTACATTTAAATGTACCCTTGTGTGCAAAACTTTGAACACCCCTGGTCAAATGAGATGTTTTGTTGGACACTGGCCCTCCAGGACTAAAGTTGTGTGTGATCTTGTGATCTTAAAATAATAAAGTTGTTGTCTTGAGACAACAAATATCTTGTAATCCCAAGATAACCAGGTTGTTAACTTGAGATCACAAGATAATTTACCTGTTATCCCAAGATAACAATCCAGAAAATTAAAGCGACAGCTCATGGCCTCTCCGGACTTCCATAGTTATGGCATATTTAATATTTTAGGTGTTTTTATAGCCACTTTATTAAACTCGGCCAAAAAAAACAGAAATTGTGTACTAAAATGTGCAGAAAGGTACATATTTAAGTTTGTTCAGTTCAGTTCTGCTTTATTGCCATTTGTGTGTATGTAAAATACCTACTTTTGAATGTCTATAGAGGGTGTGTTAATTTATTTTCACTAAACAGGTCATTTGACCAGGGGTGTTCAAACTTTTGCTCATAGCCGTAAGAGCCTATTCGGAAGCCCTTGGTTGGCAGTTTCATAATTCAGAATCAGTACAACAAAGATCACCTACTAAAACAGTATTATGTTAGAAAACAAACTAAAACTAGGCCACAGAATTGAATTATGATTCACTTCTGAATTATGTAAGAAGAATAGTGAACATAATGAGTGAAGCGCTATGGAAAAAACATTTAAAACACTTTACCACCTTTTTGACCCTTTCTGATGAAATATCTGGTGGTCAGTGCAAATGCTATTCCACATATCCTGCATTATCCATACTTGCCTTTATAGAGAAGACCAGAGCAGCGATGCCCAGTGGTAAGCAGCAGCACAGCATGGTGAAGATGGAGTAACACAAGTAATCCTGCTCACGTTTGGCACCAGCGGTGACAAAGACTGTAGGCTGCACAGTGACAATTTGCTGGCCTACAAATAAAGGCTGGACGTGACCCTCATATTGCTGACCGTAAGGAGCTCCATAAGGCAGGTCTTGAGGGAAGACAGGCTGGTTGGGGTAGCCTGGAGGTGGATCGTAACCAGCCCTGCAGTCCTGGTATGGTGGAGGCTGATCCATGTATGGTTTCTCTCCTGGATTCCAGTCAGCAGGAGGGGCACTTGGTAGCTTTTTGGGGTCCATGTTAATTCCGCTCTTCAGTTTGGTTGTAAGTACCCTGTATATATTGACTTTGTTTCTCTGTGACAGAGACTGGTTGAATTCTTTTCTGATTCTGCTTAACATTCCTGGGGGTGTGGCTACTGGACGGGAGAGGCTGCAGCTACAAGAACACGCCCATTTTACTTGGTGCAAAATACTTGAAATGTCACCTGGTAAACATGAATGACCACCTTTCAGCAGCACCAAAGGGAAAGCAAGTGTCTCTAATCCATACAGTCCATATATATGGGAACTAAAATAAACCCCACAGACATACCTTATCTAAGCTGCTAATCCTCTTTGGTCGCAGGGGCTGTTGTGCCACAGTGCCACCCTAAAATAAAAAATAATTCACTCTTTTTGTGATGTCATAAAAAAAAACAATTTACACATACGCACCTATTTGGCCCATAGGAGTTTCAACTTATTTACTTTTGAGCACAAAATATTTAACAAAAAAAACATATATATATATATATATATATATATATATATATATATATATATATATATATAGTGTAGACGCTACTTAAGGAGGAAGAGGACATATCTGAGCAAGAAGGCAGTGTGAAATGCTGACCTTAGCTAGCATTAATTAGTAATACATTGACTGTGGTTATGATTGTTACATTTAAGATAAAAGCTTTTGCCAGTTTTCTATTTACCTCTAGATTTTAGAAAAAGTTATTGTGTATAAAGGTAATGCTGTGTGTGTGTGTGTGTGTGTCTGTGTGTGTGTGTGGAAGAGAATTAGAGTTTGGGGTGTTTCGGGTGGTCTGCATCACGTAACTCCTGGTCTAAAAAGAGGTCCCACTCCAGCCCTGGAAGGTGGTTGTATTTTCTACTTCTCACAATCCAAATAATCTCAAACTCATGGAAACACAGAAGAAAATGAGAAAGTTAATTCTGAGCAAAGCGATATGTCTGCTTTTTGTATATGTTCTGTATTGTAGTTAGCCAATCAAGCACTGTTGATACACAAGTTTTAGCTGTTTTAAGCTAAAAAACAGCTAGGCCCAAGCCTTAGAGTTATGCCTTGTCTTTGTGAATATTCAGCTTAGTTTTTGTTTGATATGTGCGTCTTGATCTTCTCAGCATTGTGCTTGGAGTTGTTATGTGGCACTGAAAAATGTACATAATAGCCATTCTGACTGGAAATTACATGAACTAAAGGGTGATGTCTGACTTTTACACAGTACTGTATGTGTTTTTAGTACATAAACCCAAAATGTTTCAGGTGGACCTTAGAATAGCAAGACTGTCTTACTTGTTTCTACCATCACTACATTGAAGTGTTATTTTTTGAAAAATGTTTGTAAAACACTTAAGTAATGATGATCTGCACAATAATGCAGATAACCACACAGTTTAGGATATGAGCCAAACAAAATGTTATTTCCTGCCAACAGACTGTCAAAAGAGAGTAGCACAGCAGGTTAAACAGCATTAAACTAAATGAAACCATGAGTTCCCACGGTACGTATTTTTCAGTCATTAATCTTTATTTTGCTGTTTAATTTCGGCTAACAGATCTCCCACTTGGAGATAATGGAACCTAACTTGAACTAAAACCTAAGATTTATTATTCAGTAACTACTGTGGTTTATTCAGTACCTATTTAAGTATTAAGAAAGTGAAAGTCACCCAGTGATCTTTAGAGTTAAAGGGGTTTAAAGAAGAAGTGAAACTAAGTGAAAAATTGTTTCAAATGTTGTTTACATATTTATGTCACTGTCAAAGTCTGTTGTATACAGTGTCGATGTATAACTGGCCACTTTATTAGAAACACCTACCTTGTACTTCCACTCACTGGCCACTTTATTTGAAACACTTACCTTGTACTTCCACTAACTAGCCACTTTATTAGAGACACCAACCTTGTCCTTCCTTCCACTGGCCACTTTATTAGAAACACTTACCTTGTACTCTCACTCACTGGCCACTTTGTTGGAAACACCTACTTTGTACTTTCACTAACTGGCCACTTTATTAGAAACACCTACCTTGTACCTCCACTCACTGGCCACTTTATTAGAAACACCTACCTTGTCCTACCTTCCACTGGCCACTTTATTAGAAACACCTATGGACCGATATATGCTATCTGGTTACAGGTCACAGTCAGAAAGGGAGGCTCTTCATCAAATACAGATCCATGTAGATTTAAAATCTTTATATAAATATTTATATAAATACTTCACGCAACGCTGCATATAGATGAATTCTGTAAGTTTGTCAGAGGTGCCCAGGCCAAGGTACATTTGCTAAGTTACATTTAAATTATTTGCATTTAGGGGCGGGGTTTAGTGAACAGAGTGCTATGATTGCTTGGCTTCAGTTTTAAAGTGCATCATATTCTTTAGTATATTTTACAATATCAACGTTTTTCTCACAGTTCAGAGTAACAATACGTTCCTTCTGAAAGAAGTGGAGAGAAAGAGGAGGATATTTTACTGTGTATCAGAGTGTAAGTAGAAGTTGTAAATATACTTTAATAACTTATATACACACATACAGTCCATCACTGTGCATTACAGAACGCAGTATATCGTGGAGATAGTTCTGGCTTTATACTGGAATATTTGATCAGAGAAGATCAGGGAGTTTTCTGTGTACTGTGTGTGTTGGTCACATACTGCACATGTCTAGCCATATATAGCGGCTGTTTCAAACAGAGTTATGGTCTGTAGTAGTGAACAAAAGAGGCCTGGAATTCTTGAACCGTCTAGTGATCAAATAACACCCTTTTCTCTGAGCTCTTCTGGCAGCTGACCAGAAGGCTTTCCTGGAAACCTACTAGCATGTTCAAGACACTGAGCCAGGCCTCGGAAACCTAAATGTTAAGAAAAGCCATACTGTCTTTTCAACAAAGGTCAAACCACCTGTTGTTGCAGCCATAACAATTTATGTCCATTTTACCATCTTGGCTGTAAATATGTCTCAGTATGTGCTGCTGCGCTAGTGTAGGCTAAAAAATACAATACAGGGTGATTCAAAAAGATTCATCTGATTTCAAAGCGCCATATTTTTACAACCGTGAGGCGCCTAGGAACCAATCACATACCAATTGAAAGAGGGGATTGTAGAGTTTCTGACTGTCACCGGTAGATGGCACTTGTACATAATAAATTTTATGCTCAATTAAATCATTTACAGTTTACTGCTTTGGTCTGTAATGACTCACAAGTGAAATAAATCATTTTGAAATCGGATGAATCTTTGTGAATTACCCTGTATAAACCAAAACACACAGACTTACAGCTTTAGCTCAGCTATAGCCGCTTTTCTCGCATCTCCAGCAGGAAACTTTTCCACAAAAGTAGAATAGTTTCTTGTAAAATGTCTCTCAATGTTCTGAATTCAGCTTCTCATTTGTGGCTTCTTGTTCAAATTCGAACGGAAAAAATCGAACAAGAAGCTGGCGAATGAGAAGCGACTTCAGCTTCATGACTTTTTAGTGTTTGACAGTTTCTTGTTGCAGATTAAATGTATCAGGAAACCAGCTGAGTGTTTATAAGCGCAAATAAATTCTTCCGTCTCTAAATTATCGGTGTTCATCTTAAATCTTTCTATCTGCCTTTTTGTTAGCTACTAGCTAGGCCAGATGTTGTCTGCGTTGCTATGGTGACCAGAAGTCTGTACACCAACCATCAGGGTTAAAGGGTGAATTAGCAGTTATAGGCTACATTAACTCCAGCTTTTATGATCATTTATTGTTAATACTGTGTTGAACGATCAGCAGAGCTTAATTTTACTGTAAAGGAGGATTATTTTATTTTTACCTAAATATTTAATACTGCTGTGGACCCACAACAGGACAGTAAAAAAGCCATATGTGGCTCTAGGGCCACATGTCACTGACCCCTAGGCTAAGCTTTCTAAGTAAGAGAAGAGTGCATTGGTCTCAATAATAAGAACATAATAATTGGATTAAAGGAATGGTTCTGTGAAAAATCAGATGTATGCGATATTCCACTTATTAACAGATGTGATCGATCAGTCAAGACATGTTTGTAATCCAAATTTGCTTCTTTAATTTTTAAATGGAGACATAAGGCTGATGTTGCCAACAGACTCTAGAAGTCAACAGTCATCCAAATCTTTTCCATAGATACACTCCCAAAACTTCTCTCAGCTTCCTCAAACTACATAGTTATTCATTAAGATTGACAATGTGTCAATGTGGTTTAGGACACAGTGGCCCTTATTCATTAAAGCTGGGTATCATAGAATCTGATCGTAAAATGAGCACAATCATTTGAAAAGCATGTAAATTTGAGCGTTTAACAGCTTGAAAATGACAAACTAACCAAAAATATTATCAGTATCATTTATACAGTGTTTAATTATGTTATTATAAGAAAATAATCACCATCTTTAATTGCTGTCTTAAAGAAATAAGATGTTATGTTTATTTCAAATTTTATTCTTTCCAACTTAATAAGTATAAAAGGCTACATCTTCCCCTACATCTTTCACAATTACTCTGTACAATCCATTGTCAGTGTGTGAGATGATTGCATCAGGTCAACAATGACGCTTCCTTTTTAACCTGTTAGACCACTGTTGAAGGACGTATGCGGGTGTGTACACATTGTCCTTGTTTGCAGATAGGGTGGAAAATAGAGACACAAAATGATGAACTCCTCACCTCTACAAGAGTAGATGCTGCACACGATTTCCATGTCTGGCAACGTTCAGTTTGACCCAAACCAAAAGCTGAGGCAGGCCTTTGGATTTCCCACTGGTCCAAAAGCATAGGTTATGTTTTATATCCCTTTTTTCCCCCATTCATAATGGAGTACAGTGGATTAGCCTGCAGTGTCAGGACACTGTCATTAAAGTATTAAGAATATTAAGTACAATGTTCGGTTTGTAATGTTTATAGTAATTTGTAATGTGAGATAATAACCCACTATTCATGACCCAACTCAACACATCAGGCCTGATTGTCTGATCTGATTTATGCACACTAGCCCTACCGTCTCTGTCCATACCTTCCTCTTAGATACGCCACTAAGGAGCTGTCAACTCAACTGCAAATGTTAAAACGCTCACTGATACTAAAGATATCATTGGATGCTCAGGATCAGTTTGGACAAGACACTTTGTGTGGTTGCCAACATCATTCGACAAAACACTTGATAAAAATGGTGCGTTTGATTAGCAAAACTTAGATTAAAAAGAAAATAAATGATCCAAAGTGGAAAATAAAAGCTACTGTCCACTAAATTGCGGAGGAAAAATCCAATAAGCCCACCTACATCTAAATAAAACATATTTCTCTTAAAGGATTTTGCATTTTTACTGATATCTTAACTTTTTAAGCTTTTAAAATTAGTAATTTCTGGATTGTTTATTTGAAAAATATTAGGTCTGTTTTAAAAGCACCTGTTGCCCACCTGAAGAAGCATTTTTAAACATGGACTAATATACATATACATGGACATAATCATTTAATCTGGGAACCACTGTTTCTGAAAATGTAAACATTTCATGCATTCAGGTGTTCTACCGGATTCAGATCCGATGACTGGAAAGGCTGACGTGGTGAATTCTGTGTTCAGGAAATGAATGAAACTTGTAGTGAGGAGAACTGAACACAGAACAGCATTAAAGACCTTTACACCGCTGTTATATTTTTTAGTGCTTTTGAACATTTATAGAAGTTTAAAACAGCACCTTGTGTACATTCATGACGTCAGTGATCACAAATAGACAATAAGCTGCTCTGCTCGCCAACCAGTTAGCACTCAGTAGCAGTAATGTTAGCGGTTATTACCCCGCATTAGCCAGCAGAGCATTTCTTTAGGGTGGTAATTCAAACTTTAAACAGTAAATAATCACCACAGAGGCGTGTTTTAGTGGGCTTCGTGCTCCTTTCAGACAGTGTGTCTCCGCGTGTTTGTCGGCTGAGCAACATCAACAATACAGTGGGAGACTAAAGGGCTGTTAAGGATTAACTGGAACTAAAAAGCATTTTCATCTGCCTACAAATATAACAGAAGTCGACCTGTTAGCAACTCAAAACACTCCAAACTGTACAAGTTACGAATTTGGAGTTAAATATGAAACTGAGCAAATCGAATTAGTCACTGCCCACCTGTTCTAATAAATCACTGCTTTCACCATTCCAGCAGATGGCGCTGCAGGCAAATAAATGAAGGTCACTGTAATTACAACTACCAGTAGAGGTGGGTAATCCAGGTCCAAAAAGTAAAACCCTCCACAGGATTTTGTTCCAAGTGCCTGAACACCTTTTGCTGCTGGTTTGAGCGAATTAGAGAAGTCAGGCAGTTGGAACAAAATCCTGGGGCACCAAATATTAACGATATTGCGAATGGTGGGGTGCCAAATATTAACGATAATTAGGAATGGTGGGGTGCCAGATATTAACGATAATTAGGAATGGTGGGGTCTCAAATATTATTGACAGTTAGGCATGGTGGGGTGCCAAATATTAACGACAGTGTAAATGGTGGAGTGCCAAATATTAATGATATTGTGAACGATGGAGAGCCAAACAGTAAAAACGTTATGAATATGAAGTACCAAATATCATTATCATTGCGAATATGCAGTGCAAAATATTGAGGGGATTCTAAAGTATGATGGAGAACCCAATATCTTACAAATAAAGAAAATATTAATGATAAATTATTATCTTTTGTTCTCTTATGACTGAGTTAAAGCAGCATAGGAGGCATAAGAGAGAGCAGACAGTTGACCTGACAACAGAAAACACACACACTTCATAGCTTTGACTGTTTTAGTGATTTAGTCTCTGACACACAATTTCTTACAATGACAAAATAACAGAAATAGTGCACAACCTGTTATGAACACGACGCATTAAAGCAGGTGCTTCGAGTGAACAGAATCAGCTGGACGCTCTTTTTATTTCTACCAAGCTTAACATAACAACGAAGTCCACATTAAGCAACTTTTCATTCTCAACATCAACAACAGGAAGCAAAGCTGATATACTGCTTGTACTTTTTTGGTTAAAGAGGTTTTTTGGGGTGGCTAAAACCGATAGGTGGGACAAATAAGAAGGTCAGCAGGCGTCTACAGCTGAAATGGTTTAGTAAACATATTAGAAATACTATAACTCGGAGGCTGGTGATGCCATAAGGTTTTTGTGGAATTAAATAATAGGCAAAAGCCCCAAAACACAGGTTCTTGGGTGATGCATCACTTTCCAAATAAGGAGCTGTGTGAGCAGCAAATAGGTGGTAATAATAAAAAAAACAGCATCTATATAACAGGATCATCCTTAAAGAGACATTAGCACTTTTTCAGCGCTTCTGTTGTGGAATAAGGTACTGTAGGATCTCCACTGTTCCCTCCTCCTCCGGTCAGCTAGACACCGAGCATCTGGGCCATCGATTAGTGCTTAGCATTCACTGGCCCTTGCTGTCAAAGAGAAAAAAGGAAACAGGAATAATAATTTCACAAAGAAAATAAAAACCAGTCACGTTATTGGAGAATTCCAATGATTTTTGGAAATATCATAATTCAATGTTTGAACATACACTGTAAAAAGTGGCTTGTCAGATCTACTTCATGTGGTAACAAGTAAATTAACTAGTTTTATTCAACCTAAATAAATACTCTGAATGAACGATTCTTTCAAAGTATTTTTTGAATAAAACTAGTTTAATTGCTTGTTACTACATGAAGTAATTTTTTAAGTAGATCTGACGAGCCACTTTTTACAGTGTATAAACAGTCATTCAGAGAGGTTTGACTGAATAGTTCACTGCAGAGAAACTTGACCATTCATTTCTTTACTGTGGTGCTGAGAAGATGTTTACAATGGTTGCAACACAAATAGAGCCATTTCAGAACCTAAAGGCATCTTCTGAGTCTTCATATGTAAAGCACTATATTGCCTTACAACATCCTGAATGTGCTCTTTCAGCATGAAGGGATTTAAAAAAAAATACATTTAGGCCAAAATCTTCTATCAAAACTGTCGTAAATCAGTGTCTCAGTCATCAGGCCACATATTCAAGACCATTTCCTGTAACAGCCTTTCTATCAAAACCTATATGAAAATTCTGACCCACTAAGTTTCTCTAGATCACAAATGGACGAAGGTTGATACCAGGGATGAACGGGTCCAGTGTCAGAAACCACCAGACATATGCAAAAGTTTGAACACCTCTGCTGAGATGACATGTTTTGTTTATTTTTTTAAGTGAAAATAAGGTTAAACCTCCTCTACAGCAGGGTTTCCCAACCACTAGGCCGCAGCCAGGGCCAGTACTGAGGACTTAATTAAAAAAGAAAATTAAAAGAAATTTAACATGTTTTCAAACTGTAAACAGTGTTAATTATTAATATAAATCCTGCAAAATGGCACATCAGGGCAGCTTTTTTAGTTTTTTGCTCCTTGTGTCTGACATCCCACTTCATTTACCACCATTCTGCTTGATTTCTGGTGTACAACAAGCTTACACTAACCTAATCTGTTGATATTTTATGTTCACAGATATGTGTCATATATTGCGGGGGTCGAGTCACAGTGCTAATTGGTGGGGTACGCTTCTTATCTTGTTGGCTGACTAAATTTGGTATAAGGGGAAAATTTGAAATAGAGGTGAAGGTTTTTTCTCCAAACTATCACTTTAACCGTATCCAGTGACTGGATACTAAATCCAGCTCTACGAGACAAACTGAAAGCACATTTTCATTGTGCATGTTCAGGCAGGTCACCATTTCCTGTATCTTAATATGGATTACAATAACAGACTGGCCCAGAGCTGTGGGGGTGTGGCTTAAAAGCCATCAGTCTTGGATTGTTTCCACACTTGCAACAGCCTGCAGACCGCAAGTTTTATTCAGTATTTCAAGTGAAGATTTATCACAGTATCTGCCTCAAGATTCAATAGACTCTCAGTAACATCAACAACATATCAATTATGTAGCAGCAGTGAATACATTCAGTAGATTATTAAGAGACTTTTAATTAACTGGGTAAATAAAATTTATTTATAATCTGCAGTTCTTCACTTTATTTGGAGTTTCCAAATTCATATCTGGAGAAGAAGAACTGAACATGTAACAGGTTTATTACAGACCATCTCAACATCCTCAACAAGTTGTTATAGACACACTGACACCATTCTGTAAGTGGAGCTTCACTGGATAAGGTTAAGGTTAGGATTAGGGCCAGGGTGAGAGTTAGGAGTAGGTTTTATTTTAAGGTTAAGGTTAGAATTAAAGCTAGGGTGAGGTTTAGGATTAGGTTTTATTTTAAGGTTAAGATTAGGGTTAGAATTAGAGCCAGGGTGAGGTTTAGGATTAGGTTTTACTTTAAGGTTAGGGTTAGGGCCAGGGTGAGAGTTAGGATTCACTTAACCTTAAAATAAAACCTACTCCTAACTCTCACCCTGGCTCTATTCCTAATCATAACCTTAACCTTAACCAAAACCTAATCCAGTGAAGATCCATTTACCGAATGGTGATAGTGTGTCTATAACAGCTTGTTCACTTATTTTCATTTATTCCTAAAATCGAAAAGCAATTTGACCAGGGGTGTTCAAACTTTTGCATACAACTGCCTTCAAAAATACAGTTTGATATTATTTATGACATATTAAGTAATTGTGTTAAATATTATATATGCATGTTATAATGCAACAGTAGTGTATATCTATCACATACACACCATCGCTGCTGTAAATCCACGCCTCTCCTCCCTCTCTCAGGAGCACAGGAGAGAGTGAATGAGTCATCCTGGAAACTATGTAAGAGCTCCGTGGAGACAGGCCATACGGCCCCGGTGCTGAGCTCTTGCGTATTGTTTATGAGTGCATCACAGGAGCACTGGCAAAACACCATTCAGCAGATGGAGCCTATACTCAGGAGACCCCACCAACTGCTTGAACCAACCACTGTGTCACGTCAGACTAGATCAGTTTACTACAAGTTATCCACACAAGGGATAATAGCATCTGTGCTATAGAGGCTAAAGTCATTTAAAGTAATAAATAACTGCAGTATGTTCAGCCAGTGTGTTTAAAGTGCGTGTATTATTTACTGCTTTGACAAAGCAATATATGAAAAAAGGTAAACAATGGCTTCTCAGTAGAGAGTAATGTGACATTTTATAACAAGCATAAATGTAAAGTAGTAGGAGTCATAATACAGTATTATCAGCCATGTTTTGCATTTGTGTTAGTTATTGCATGTAGTATTATTAAATTGCATGCATTATTTATTCTTTCACCAATCAATACAAAGAAAAAATGAAGTTGAGAATTGAGAGCGACCGTACCTGTGTCATTGAGCATCTGTTGGGTAGCAGCATTACTCCCTGCCCTCCTCCTATAGAAGCAAATTGGGCAGTTAAAGGTGTACATCATGCAATAAAAAAGGCTCTGATGAAAATATATTAGTCATAACAAAACCTCATAACTCATTTTTTCCTATTTATTTGAAAACCACCTGTCCTTTCATCAACACACAATGATCGAGAATTTTTTGTGCAGCCTCAAATATTTCAAATTAAAGAAATGTAATGTAATGTAATGTAATGTAATGTAATTCTCTGATCAGGTTGACTAGAACACTGCTGGCTCACTACAGTATTATTCAGACAGGACCCATTTTCCATAGAGGAGTGGGGTAATGCCACATTTACCACAGGATGTCTCAGTATTCATGACAGAGATGGGAGTGGCTGTTTGATTTACACACTGCCTTCACTCCAGAAAACATGTCAAAGCATTTAATTTAGCTGTTATTCCATTTGCCCTAAGCCAGGGGTCAGCAAAATCTGGCTCTTTCACTGCCCTGTTGTGGCTCCACAGCAGAATTAGATTTTTAGCTAAAAAATAAAATATTACTAAATTTTAACACTAAATGGTCCTAAACGCTGGAGTTAAAGTTGCCCGTATTTTCTAATTCAGTCTTTAACCCTGAAAGATGGCGTACAGACTGCAGGTCACCATAGCAGCACACACAACTCGCCTAACTAGTAGCTAATGAAAAGACAAAGAGAGAGATTTAAGGCGAACATCGATAATTTGGAGAAGAATGTTATTTGCGTTTATAATCACTCCAGCTGGTAATATGTTTAATCTGCAATGAGAAACTGTTAAACACTAAAAAGTCGCAAAGCTTAAGTCAGTTTCTCATTCGCCAGTTTCTTGTTCAAATTTTCCCGTTCCACCTTAAATGGTGCAGCAGTTACATTCTAGCACCATTTAAGGTGGAACGGGAAAATTCTAAAAAGAAGCTGGTGAATGAGAAGCGACTTCAGCCTCGTAAAAAAAAATCAACAATGAGAGACATTTTGCAAGAAACTATTCTACTTTTCTAAAAAGTCTAAAAGTTTCTAAAAGTTTCCTGCCGGAGATGCGAGAAAAGCAGCTACAGCTGAGCTAAAGCTTAAAGCAGAGCAAAGTAAGTCTGTGTTTTCGTTTCTATCATATTTTTTAGCTTATACTAGCACATCAGCACATACTGAGACATATTTACAGCCAAGATAGTAAAATGGACATAAAATGTTGTGGCTCCCAAGGTGGTTTGATTTTTGTTGTAAAGACAAAATGGCTCTTCTTAACATTTAGGTTGCCGAGCCCTGGCCTAAGCCTCTGTCAGTAGCACTGCCATTAGCTTGGTATTTCACAGCCAACAGTCAAGATCAGTGCATAAAAACTTTTTTCTGTAGTTTTTATGTTTTGATATTCTGAAGTAATGTTTTTTAAGTGCCTCAAAACTCATTTCCCTAAGAATATAGTAGTGTTTTTACTGACATATCAACATGGGATTAATATAACTTATTTGCATGGCTTATGTTACAGAAGGGTTTATATAATCTTTACTGATACATGAGCATACAGTCCATAAAGATAACTGACATGGTGACCAAATAACTGAGAAATGCCAGTACAAATTGCATTAGGTTCCTCATGTAGACCTAATCCTGTCTCAATAGTGCTCAAGTTTGACAAGTTGTGACTGTGTTGAGCTGCTGTGAAAAGAGGTTTAGTTACATCAACACTGTTTTTCCTTCTTTTGTAAAATCATGATTTCTGGAATAGGAGTTTTTCTTATGATAGACACAATGTAGTCTTGTAATCATACCTCTTGTCCTGGTTGAATTTGCATCTGCAGTGCCCACCTGTAAAAGAGCATTACGGATCTTTAGGTAAAGACCAAAGGACGTGTGCACATACTGCATGGACGTTAGTGTAAAATATAGCAGTGAACGTGTGCAGTGTGTGTGCTTATAGTTAAAAACTCACTAAGGAGAATAGTGATGCCAATCAGACACAAGACTGCCGCCAGGATCAGCCCTCCGACACGAAGCTGATGATAGTCTACAGAGAGGACGAAAGAGATTTGTTTATTATTGTGTTTTATTGATCAGTTTTAGTTATTGATTAGCTTTGTTAAGCTTGTATGTAGGTAAGAGAAAAAATGTACTCACCGAATGTGAACGGATCATCCTCTGCTGTAAATATAAACCAAAGAACAGTTTTACTACAACTTTAGGTAGTGATCCATGACAACAAACAAACAAATAAATAAATAAATAAATAAATAAATAGGTGTCTTACTTTGCTGGTCCTCTGCCAAAACGAGGGACACAACTGTAAATGAGCAGATTAGCATTTAAAACTACATCTGTTATTAACTTGTCATGGTTTAAAATATGAGGAATTAAAAGTTTTAAGGTTATTTGAATTGGCAAAATGTGGGCACCCTTGCATTTTTTTCAATTGCAAATATGTTAAAATATTCTGTACTTAAGTTTAAGCTTACTTGAAAACTTAAATTTGGCATTTTTCTGCAATTTTATGTGTTTTTTTATTTAATATTAAATTCAGAAAAAAAACAGTAACTGTACATTAAAACATTTTCCACATAGACAAAGTTTCACTTAGAAAATCAACAAAACGGCATTGAAATAGGGGGGCCTAAACTTTTACATATGATCGCAGTTATACTAGCTTTCATAAAATTGGAATCTTTTGCCATATTAATCATTTTTTATTATTAAATATTTATTCAATATGCTGTAATTATTTATTTACATTCATTTTTTTTATCTTCCTCGAGATTTGATCTCCACTTTTGAAATATGATGAAATGAAATTTTACTCAAAATTAATAAAGTCATTTTACAAACTTCTACAGCTCTGTTCATCATTCTGGACACATCTTTTCATTTTTATTTACATAAATTGCACTGGAGTCATATTAGAATCTTTTTATTAGGCCTTAGCAAAATAACAATATATATCATTATTGTGATAAATTATGTCACAATACAATACAAAATGTTTTTCTGAACATATCATGTGTATCGTCAGTACTCGTAACTTAAAACACTGACCGACTGCTTGTTTCATTATAATAAGAGTACAATAAGTCCCGATTAACTGGATTTAGTTCAACACTGTATGCCAAACACTGAATAAAAATCAGTCTTTGATAGTATTTCTAAATAGCTCTACTGTTTCTTTTTACTCCGTTCCAACTGTTTAGATGTATGAAATATTGTGTCATATCGTGTATTGTTAAAAGTTCTTGAAGTATCGCAATATTATGCTTTTGCCATATCGGCCACGTCTACTTTTTATAAACTGTCTTTTATACCTGCAAACAAATTGAGTTCTTCAAACTTTTGCACAGCAATTTTGAACTTTGAACATAAGTGCACTTTTCTAAATACTCATTTTTGAATATTTTAAGTTGTTTTCCTCCATCAAAGCATTTTAAAAGTATTTTAAAAGTCTACAAACATATTCATCAACTCAGCACTATCAGTCTGAAAGGATGTGTAGCTGTCAATAAGCACATCAAAACTGAAGGGTCTAAATTTGTCATTTGGATTACTTGGATTGTGAGAAGACTGTGTTAAGACTGAATTTTGGAGGTGTGAAAAACATCCCTGCAGAATTCTTTGAAAAACTTAAAGCAGGTCTACTAAAAAGAATGGAAGCTGCAATGAAGGCTGAGTATATTTAGCTGTTTTTTGTGTTGTTGTTTTCCTGATGCTGAACTTCTGAAGGTTCTGCACATATTCGCCTGTCCCTTTTACTTCTGCAGTTCTTATGACCTCAAAATAGCTTGACAGTGCAATCAGTGGAGCACATTTAAGTGCCCTTTGGCCTTGTTTTTCATTCAGTCATACCAGTGAGGACACTAGATGCAGCATTGCCTCTCTGTGAGTGATTACTAAACCCACAAACAGACACAGCTGCATCTCAACCCAACTTTATTAAGACGCTTATCTGGGTAAAAACAGAACTACTCACATGTAACGAAGACCACTGCCAAAATCCGTGCCATGGCTCTGTGTCTTCACCTAAAAAACAAGAAAGGTCTTATTAGGAACGGCTATTACAATACGGCCTAGTGATTCTGTAACAATAGTGAAGCATATCGCGTAACCCCTGTGTCCGAAAGCTGATTCCTGATGTATCTCAAAAGCCACTTAAGCTCTAAATATATAACACTGACCTTCCAAACCTCTGAATAATTGCCCACTCCTGGCTTCACTCAAACAAGAAGCACAACAGCGCAAATGAAATTACCCCTGCTCTACAATCTGTCTGATTTGATTAAACATGCTTCCAACTGGGGCAACACATAGCAACCAACTGAACCCGGCTGATACCAGTTCAAATGTTAACAGTATCCTGGAAAAGGTTTGGCCTGGGCCACTGGATCAGACTGTGAGATGTGCAGACAAAACAAGCAAACAAAAACTGGGAGAGCGAGCATGCAGGTTTAGATGTCGTTTTACAAAGTACTGCTGCAGTCATTAGGAACTGGGCCTCAGTCTTCAACAGTTGCAGAATACATCCAAATAACTGTACATAACAGAAACATACAGAGACAAGAACAGAAAACTCAGGACACTCGAAAAAATGTCCGAAATAAACAAGCATTTTTTAATCGCTGTTGGGACAAATATCTCCAAAATGGTCATTTAACCAGAGAGGCAAAAAATATTCTTAACTTATAATGGAAGTCAATGTGACAAGATTTCATTCCAAGTCATTTTAGTCCATTTCTGTTGGTCGATTCATCCTATAGTTTTAGTACAACGTAAACTGAAGCTGTTTTTCACAATTTTGTTAAAATCGGGGAAAAAAGGGCAGAAATGGAGATGTATGGCTTCGCCATAACAGCAACAAGTAAAAAATAAAAGCTTGGCAAAAGGTGTCCAGTGACAATTGAAATGGATTAAAGTTTATTACCGAAATATGCATATCCATAAACTCTAATTTCACTCGCATAACTAGATAACTCGCATATTATTTTCAATAATTCAAGTTTTAAGATAAACAACTGAACAATAGACTAAGCCTCCATTTTAAAGGGTAAAATATTATGATAGTATTTTGAATAAATACTAAATGTATATTTAAATAATATATACAGTACTGTGCTGAAGTCACCACTCTTCATTTATTTAATTTCCAGTCAAGTCAGTCATTAAGTACAAGGTATTTATTTCTGAGGAGAAATAGCTGTAAGAGAACCCACTTGCATAAGGAAGAGGAAACTCAGAGAAAAACAAGTGGAAAAAAATAGTTTTCAAAATTGGAGCACAAAATGTTATTAAAAAGGGACCCCTGACAACCATGCAAGACCTGGCAGACCACCACATAAAAGGACTCAAAGCTTTCATCTGTAAGAGAGAGGAGAAAATCAAGCTCCACTTTGGTCTCAGATCTGGAAAAATCCACAGGCGTTTCTGTCCATCCTTCCACTGTGAGAAGGCACCTCAAGAAGCTCTTACTGAGAAAAAAAACAGAAGCTGAGAAGAGTCCAGACCTCAACATCACTGGATGTTTTGAGATTATTTGGATCGTGAGAGGCAGAAAACGCTAAACCAACTTCTAAGACTGAACTTTGGAGGTGTGGAATAATATTCCTGCAGATTCCTTTGAAAAACTGCAAGCAGATTCCCTGAAAAGGATGGAAGCTGTAGTAAAGACAGAGTGACCACAATAAATACTGGAAAGTTTAGATATTATATTTAACTATTAATGTTTTTCTTCTTTTTTTTCCTGATGCTGAAAAAAGAATAACTTCAATAAATGAAAGGGTGGTCTCTGACCTTTGCACATCACTATGCATACCAAATATAAATATAATACAACTTTGTTTCATGCAATTAACTATTATATTTTCCTTTATTATATTGCTGCCGAACAAAACCTCGCATCTCCAAAATAGTAACTTTACAGGAAAAGCAAAAAACATACTTTACTTTCAATGTAAGTCAATGGAACCAGAATTTTTTCCAAGTAATTCTGGGTCGTTTCTTTTGGTCCATTCACCATGAAATTAACACACAATGTAAAGGACAACAGACATTTTAAAATATGTCAAAAACTGAAAAACAACAAAAATGGAGATACAAGGCTTTGTCCCACAGGATCGATATGTTATAATAACAACATATTAACAATAGAATAAGAATGTATTTTCTTTTTTGGCTGCATTCAAAATACGCTCACATGTTAAGCCACTTGGACAACACTGATGTGTTTAAAGAATCCTTTATATAGAATATCAGTTCAGCATTTTGTCTAAAATTAACCGCAATAATAAAACAAACTCCATGCTTAATACATTTTGAATTTTTAAAGTTTTTGCTATGGTATAAATGTCAGGTCTGTAACAAAGCATGGTGACAACTTGCTGAGGCAAAGCCTTTGTGCAACAGAGCTCTGTAAATTTCCATAACACCTAAAGAACCGACGGGAATGGCAACTCCCATCCAGTCTACCATGCGCTGACGTAATACTGTACTATGCTGACCCCCCTTGTTTGCAGCCATGTGGACAGGGAGGGAACGACATAATGGGATCTCCACAGACATGCTGAGCTGAAATAAAGTCCAATATTTTCAGTCTTTGATCATAGCAGGTCTGTCCAGAGCTCCCTGGGGAAAAAAGGCAGCAGCTAATTTGGGGATTTTCGGGGGAGTGTTGAGGTGATTTAGCTAATCTGTGGAGTCTGAGACTGGCAGACATCGCTCTGCATCTTCTACTAATGAGGAAACCTCATTTCTTTACTTTTGACTGATTTCTGTTTCACTACATCTGGTTGAAATTACAACTACATTCAGAAAAAAAGATATTAAAGTACCCCTCTTGTCACTGGGGTGGTCCCCTCAAGGGTACATCTCAGTACCTTTAGTCAGGGAACATAACTGTACCATAATCCACTGAAATTTTCTAAGTTGTACTGACTCCACACACCCCGCCTCGTCTCTAGGCTTTTTATTTTATTGCTCTGTTTCAAAACATTCGGTTATGAAAAGGTACAAATATGTACTTTTCACCTGGGAGAAATTTATTTAAGGTGCAAAACTGGACCTTAAAACCACTGTTGTACCTTTTGAGGGCACATTTACATTGTTTGTACCTTGATGAATGAAAAACGTACCTGCACAGCACCTTTATTTCACAGTGTAGGCAGTCCGATTGCTTGCTTTGCTAGTGCAAATTGAAGGCAAATCAGTTTCTATGTTCCAACCTGCAAGGTGAGCTAGGGTGTGCTCTTGTCACAACGGAAACCTGACACGTGGGTCCGTCTTTGTTTTGTTCTCTGAAATGAAACCCGGCCTGAACTTTGCTGACGGAGCTCAGGATGATCCAGGCCCCTTTCATTTCCTCTGAAGTCATAATTACACCAGCTAGCAGGCTTTCTTCTCTCCCAGGCAACAACATTGCGGGAGAGGACGCCAAAGAGAATGTGGGCAGTGCTCCAAGTACTGGCTCTGTGCTTCTTACAATGCGGCCAGAGGAGGATAAGCAGTCGTTTTTGTTAATGGTTCTGTTGACCTTCCTTTTAAAGGGGAATTCCACTGTTTTGAAAGAAAACCACATCATAAAATCACCAAGATGTAGACAAAGTCATTCAGAATGGTTTAATGTGAAACATGCCATTCTGAAGGAACTTCACAGCAGGGATGACAGGACAGTTTAATGCCTCTAAAAGCCACCTTACAGAACGTTATTACATAGAATGGCGACGAATGCGTTGCCTGAGATACTGTTTTACAGTATAAGGTGGCGGAGAGGTACATGCAGGGTGTTGTGAGGAAAGGTAGTCCCCAGAGAAAATGTATTTTACCACTACACTCTTAAAAAAAGATGGTTCTTCAAGGGTTCTTTAGTAAAGAAAATGGTTCTAGAACCATTACTACTCAAAAAGCCCTTTGCATGATTAAAGGGATCTTTGTATCATGAAAAAGTTCTTCAGATTGTTGGAGAACGTACTGTAGATGGTTCTTTGTAGCACCCTTTTGAAAAGGGTTCTATCTGGCACGAAAAAGGGTTCTACTATGGTTACGATGTCAAGCATGTAACAATAATAGGACCCTTTTTTAGTGCTACAGCACCTTCTTCAACCACCTGCAGCACATTCTCCATCAATCTGAGGAACACCTTCATGATGCAAAGAACCATTTAATCATGCAGCGGGTTCTTTGAGTGTTAATGGTTATAGAGAACCATTTTTTTTTACTAACCTTTTTTTTAAGTGTGCAATTCATCATCAACATATAGAACATTAAAAGATGTGTATGTTCTCTGGTTGTTTTGGATAGAAAATCTGTATTTGCATTGTAGACATTGAGACCCCTGGTTACTATGACCACCACTGGAAAGAAATCTGAGTAACTTCCTCGCAGTGTGCCATTTCACATCAAACCACTCCGAATGACTTTGTTTACATCTCAATGACTGGGAACTTCATTCATTCTCATTGTTCTTTCAACTTATTTTCCATCTTCCTGGTGCTTCTCAACATCAGAGCACTCGAACGTCACTGTTTGGACAATCCATCTCTCATCCGGTGCAATGAACAGAATGCACTTTAAAGTGAAAACTGGCAGTTCTCCACAGCCTTGGAAACATTCTACATTTTTCCTTCTTGGAGAACGGCCTGGAAGAGAACCAAAAGACAAACAAAAGTGTACAAAAACGTCTGTTTGGCGGCTTTTTTGTGGCGAAACGTAAAAGCAGACCTTAGCGGTTGGAGATTTCAGAGAAGATACATGACTGCTCCCATTGTGTAGGACCTTTACGGGTCACGTTTCAGTGGAAATGCTAAGTGAAGTGAAGCTTAGCGAGAGAGAACGAGAGAGATAAACTCCACACTGTATCCAAGCCTGCCAACCCTGGAAGTCTTGCCAGTCCCCCTTACCAGGCAGTATAACCCAGGGTGTGGAGCTCTAATAATGAGAGTGTTGTGTTCTCTCGTAGTCACGTTGGGCTGCCAGCGCACAGTCGAGGCAGAGGAAGAATCAGAGATTTGTTTCAGAAGCTCCGGCCGACTGGT